TTCTATCTACAGATACTGATGTATAAGCTATTCTGTCAGTGACTGTCGTGAAAGTGTTCCGATGGAGGCTAGTGATTGGTTAGGTTAACGAATAATGAGGATTCAGCTTGAGCATGTTCGGAAGAGATTCTGAGGCATTTATAGGAGAAACTAGTTGCTGGTAGCGTTCATTTCGTTTCTTGGTTAGGTAATTGAAAGATCGCTGTAGACAGGGTGTCTCAGCTAACTTGATCACCTCGAATAATGACAACGGTACACTTTATACACATTTTTAAGCGTGAAACTTAAATGGCATCAAGGGACACATCTTATAAGGTATGTCCTTTTTTTGTGGGTGGAAGCATTTGAGAGATTTCAATGTTACCTTGATTTTTTTTAACGGAATGACCTACTTTTTGTACCACCGATCGATAGAGTATCAAATTCTGAGTATAAATGTATTGACCTTCATACGTCCTAAACTTAATAGTTAATTTAACGAGATATTTACAAAATAATTTTTAATACGTACTTACTATCTGGAAACTATAGGTGCTCGAACTGATGCCCCTCAACTTCAATACAGCGATTTCAATACCGTGATTATTTTGTAAACATCTCCTTAACTACACATTAGGTTTGTATGAAGGTCAACACACTTTTACTCAGAATTTAATATTTTATCGACGTATTTTACAAAAAATAGGTCATTCCGTTACAGAAAATTAAGGTGACCTTGAAATCTTCGAAACGTTTCTACCCACAAAAAAACATGTACCTTATTAGATGTGCCCCTTGATGCCATTTAAGTTCCATGCCTCAAAATTTTCATAAAGTGGTCTGTTAAGTCATTATTCGAAGTGATCAAGTTAGCTGAGACACCCTGTATTATGCACTGTTTGACGTGGAGGGGCAGCGAAATTTCGGAGCAAGTACTATTTCTATAATCAAATGAATCCAACTCGAATTAAAAAATTTTGCATTTTAGGTGTGTTTGACCTTGGCAATATTGTAAAGTATTCGATAGTGTTCCATACTGATAAGTTTAGAATAACGATAGTCGCATGAAAATAATAGTTTACTACGTCCTTTTATAAACACTATACAGAAATAGAGCTTATCTTGTAGGGATCTCTTTGTTTATAAAAATATGTGCTTTGATAGTACCTTCTTAATGTTGCTACCTATATTTGAGACTAATTTTCATCGCAAATGATTAAGAACTATAAATACTAATATCTGAAAGTTATTAATTATTAACGTAACAATTTAGACGGCCATTAAATCATTACAAGTAATCTAAAATTAACATGGAAATATCATGAGTTCTTTTATGATCAGCAAGATGTTTCATATAGTAGATTACAAAGTACTACATGTACTGTATATGATAAATCAGACGAATTTTATAGTAAGTTTGGGATAAAATGTAAAATTTCTGTTAAACTAATTGTTCTTTTATAGAGTCACGAAATCACACTATTCACATTATTTTTAATTTCTCATTTTTCTGTTAATACTGTATCCGACATGATCGTCTAAATCATCACATAAAAAGAAACAATTTTTTTTATCGTTTCGTTTTAAACTAATTACTATATTAAGTCCAGTGTATTTTTTTCTAATATTTGATACATTTAACTGAATTACTCAAATAAATTAAATAGCTTAAGTACAGATGTTTCTCATGCGACAGAATTGCAATTCAAATAAAAATCTATTTACAGATTTCGAAATTGCAGAAACTCGCGTGAGTTATTCGTATCGCAACAACGAACGCGACTCTTCTTTCCCTGTTCATCGTGTATTGTATAGGTTTTAATCACTCCGGCTGGTACGAGGTCTGGTTGATGACCCCGTTGCAGCCTGATGATGAGCACGGGCTCCTTTGTCCGGATTCCCAGACGTCGAAACGTCTCATGGACCAGTTTCTATTTTTTAATCCATGACGCTATGCCGTGATTGTCGGACGACTGGACATCGCGACGACGTGTTACGACCTCGAAAGCTGGATTCTTTTCCAATGTCGTACGTTCCTCGGAATTTCGCTAAATTCATCGATAAATTTGCAGATGCTTGAGCTGTGATTTATTCGGAGCCGCTCTTTTGAACCAATTTATCCTATGGGAGATGAAACGAGATAATCGTGGATCTTGTTCTACTATCTATGACATTTACTTTAAATAAATGAAATAGAGAAGTATAACATGAAGTAAATCCATAGTATTGATTAATTTTAGAAGAATTGAAATTTGATGGTAAAAGTCCCATAATAGTAAATTTTTTTCAAGTTTCTAGTATCATTAATTGAGAAAAATATTTTAAACAAAATCTTTTTTAGATATTTGTACAAACATTTTTGTAATTTGTAGTAGTCTGATTGTAAAGTATTTATGCGTTGTTAACGGCACAAAGCGAGCAATTCGATTTTCATAGCTTTGTAGACGCTGTTCTATAAAGTTTAAAAAAAAATCATCCGAATCGAAATTTATATCGAGATGATTTAACATTTCTTCAAAAGTTACTATAACCATTCGATAAAACGAATATGCCAGAACTTTTCCAGAGTCAAAGTCTATTTATTTAAACAGTTTTAAATATATTAAATTTTCAATTGTAAAGACTGCGCAACATTAAAGTATTCTTTTATAAATTATGTTTTTAATTCATTGCATTAAACATATTAACAAATACAATTTAAAAATATAGCATTATTTTAAAAAATAATGACGATGCTATAATGTGATTGATAGTTCAATTTATGTTAGTATCAATATCTACAGGTTATACGAAGTTGACTCCTTAATTTAAAAATAAACAAATTATAAACAATGTTAATATTAAGTTCAGTTATAAATAACTTTTTCAGAAGATTACCGGTATTACTAAATGATAATTAAGGAAGAATCACAATTAATATTTAATTTAATAAATTGTGAATGCAATTTTTAAATATGCATTAAATTTCATAATTATAAAAAATATTAACTAATGTTGAATGTGGAATAAGTAGAAATAAACTTTAAAAAGAGCCCAATTTAATAGTATTAATGTCTGTCATGAAAAAATAATGAATTTAAAAACTCTTATAACTACAAACATACGAATACATTAGATAATATCAACGTTATATAAAGTGACGATAAACAGAAGTACATACTCGACATTCATCTCAGATACTCTGCTTTCATCCTGTTGTTACTCGTACATCATTTTCGAAATGAAACTTCGTCCAATCGTTTCAAAACGAAACTTCAACAATTTTTATAGCCCACCAAATTCCTTAAAAGTGTTCTTTCAAGAAAGAACAGAAAAAATTTAATGAAAAAGAACAAAATTCTGCACAGTAAAAACAAGAATAAATGCAAGACGCAGATCTGCACTTTTCCTACGCTTGAAACAAAACATCCTCGGACTAAGTGCTCATTATTTACGACTGTGTTGTTTATAAAAACGTAATCATCGCATAAAACGGATAACAAACTCGAGATTGTTCGCAGTCAATAATGAACATTTGAATGGAATACTTATGTATTTGTTTGCGTGATTTAATGTATCGGAATTATCATTCCCACAGTTCGTTCACAGCAGTTTTGTTTCAAGCTTCTTTTTTTTTATGACCGATAACGTTGAATTGTTCTCATTCCGAGGTTCGCTTTTTCTATCTTTGGGATCGGTACATGCAAATTAATTCGATCTTCTTGCGGTTCGTAACGTTATCCGGATTCGTTGTTTCGTAATGATCTTTATGTAACTACTTTGTAATCCCTGGCGAGAATTTAATAGCTCGAACGGCTTTTCTGTTAAACGAGTCGTGCGCCTGTGTATACAACTTTGTTTTGTAAGAGGGCATAAAGAAAATGAGGTTACACGGCAGAAGGAAAATCACACATTTTATACAGAGTTCGTGATGCCGTAATATTAAAAGTCACCTTTAAACTCGAATAACAACAAATTTTTAGATATATATAATCCTTCAAATCTGAGTAATTTTTTCCAAACGTATTTTTTTTTTTAATTTAATACATTCCATTTTGTTTAACGATCAATCACCTAAATATCAGCTTTATTTAATAATATTTAGAGTAAGTATTTTATATTTATAATAATGGAGTAGTAAGTTATTTCTAATAAGTATTATGTTTCTGTTAATTTGGTATCAATAAAATACCACATTAAATTATCACATTAGAGATGTTGAAGTGTTAATATTATTTTATAGACGTTGTCCGTTTAATTTTATTTTGCCTTCAAGTTGGAATTTGAGGGAAGAAATGAAGAGAACAACATTCAAAACATACTGATTTATGTCGGTAGCTATACCAAGTCTCATGCTTAGGACATACTTAATATTTATCATTATTTCGAGGTATGAAAAAATGAATGATTGATTGAACCGCAGATTGATTTCACTTACATTTACATTTGATCGCCTTTAATATAAACTGAAGTTTCAATATCTTTTAGTCAATGTGTTCAAGGAATTCTACCATACAGAACGACAAACCTACTTCAAAAAAGTACTATAGATAAAAAATGCACTTTATAAAAGCAAGTATCCGGTGAATATATGTTCAAAAATATTTCCTAATAAATGTATTACTCAAAAACTTTATGTACCGTAAATTGTAATTACAAAGATCAACTTTGATCTACCAAAATTGATATCTAAAAAAGAATTGTTTATAAACGTAGTAAAAGTATCTATGAAAGGAGAGCGCCAGAAGCTCCAAGACGTCTTCACTTCGACAGTAAGAAAGTATCAAAAGTGTAGAACCACAATTACTGTAAGCAAAAAATGCACGCAAATTCTGTTCCCTCCATTTTACTTAGTTTGCTCGATAAGAACTATGATCCTCAAACGTTTTATTAATAACATTTTATGGGAACGTTTACAATCGTATGCTTTACTAGATCTCTGTTTTTTATGTAGAATTGCATTTCTTATCAGATTCCAAGCTGTTAGACACTTTGTAAACACTAGATCTCAGTTACGGAAAGAAGCTGAAACATTCACTCACCAAGATGAACTGCTAGGTTGTACCTCTCGAGAGCTTGACCCAGGTGTCCCTCTTTCATCAAAATGTCACCCTCGTGTCTCACTCTACTCGCTTCCGCTTCCCGTGGCCACCACTTTTCCACAAGCCTCTGCACAAGCACATTGGTTTCACCCGTACCGACGATCTTTTGTCCGCACACGCGACAGTTCTTGCCCGGTTCCGCGCAGTTCTTGCAGTAGGTATGACCGCAGTTGGCGGTCACTGGTTGGCACAGGGTTCCCTCGCAGAAAGGACACGCGAAGGACGTCTCGATTTTCCGCCTGGAATTGGCGGCAGTCGTGATGGCGAAGCCCGCCAGTTCCTCTAGGAGGGCATTGGTCAGGTGTTTCAATCGGTCTGGCGGAACGGAACCCACGGCCAAACACCTCGAGTAAACACCAATAGACTCTCTAATTCTACCGCACTTCACCAGAGAATCCCCGTATCCTACTAGCATTTCGAAGCTTGGACTTTGCTGTTTCAAGCTCCGTTCGTACATTTCTACGGCGAGCCTGTAGTTACGAGAGGCGAACGCTTCCTTCGCAAGCTCTGTCATCTTCGATGTCAAACACTTTTCCGAGGGGCTTTCCAGCTGGAACTTATATCCTCTATCCCCCTAATCCGTTACGACACACGCGGAGGGGTTGATGGAACAAACGATTCACGTGCGCGCGTCGATCGTAGGGTGAACCGCGCGGCAAAATCCGCTAGACGGTTTCTCCGAGGTAAAAACGCGCATTTTATTTTCGTTGATCAATTCGAACGACTAACACTCTTTTCATTCATAACATGAACAACCTCCGGAACTGGCTGGTATATCGATTTCCGTTTTCTCTCAGTAAAAAATTACGGTCCCGAACGAAAAAAAAACACTTCACTGGGTCGCTGGTAGGATATTATCCAAAGCTTTGTGTTAACATCCACTGATATGCCGGAAGTCGACACCTTCGTAAAATAAACTCGATTCGTCAGTCACGTTTGACAGTTGGCCGGCCATGCGGTCGGAGTATCCAAAGCGAACAGCCACGCAAAGTCGCTGCTACGTACAGTACGACGGCGCACTGACGACTGTTGGTTCGCTTGTCACCGCTCGCTTGGGCCACTGTCAGAATCGTAAACCAAGCAGGCCAGCGAGAGGGGTGGTGGTGGTGGTGGTGGTGGTGGTGTGGTGGTGGAGGCGGTGGCGGTGGCGACGGCAACGGCGTCGATGGAACCGTGGGGGCAAGCTACGACGACGACAGCGCCACGCGGCGGTTCACACACCTTCGTCGACTCATTCTCGCAGCGTCTACCTCGCCAAGTATTTCGTGATAGCGCGGCGGCTGGCTCATGCCGTATCAACGGTGATTCTACGTTCTATGTAGGCGTTCGCGACGGTGTCGTGCCACACCCCCACTACAGAGCGTTAACCGAGGCGTCATCCTGCCACTATGTGAATCCTTCCTCGACGGAACATTTTTTACCCCTAGCTTAGCGTTACGACGTTGTAATGTTTTTGTTTTCAAATAATTTCTTTGAACTTTTGCGTCATACTGACTGAATATATACTCTTCCAGTTCAGATGAATACATTTTATAATACCACAGTTGCCTTTAGAAGTCTGAAACTGATAATTCTTTCCGTGGTTGGTATTTGTTGATTGGTCATGATTCAAATGTATCGGTAGACGAATATTCTTGAGACTCTCTATATTGTCCCTTTATTATTCAAGTTGAATTCTCTATTTTGATGAAAACATAGCTTCCGGAGTATCAACAGGCTCCAGCAATTCGCATCACTTTGGTATCGAACGGCGGCATCTGTCCCCGCGTGTCCTGTCGCAAGCTACCCCGGGAGAAGCTAGGCAGCCAGAAGCCGGCCTTGAAATAAAAACGAAGCAACGTCGGGAGGCTTGCACGTAAACTTCCACGAAAATTACGGTAAACAGGTTGGCGCGTGCTAAGCGAGCGAAGGTGGGGTGGCGAACCGTTTAACCAGGACACTTGTTGTGTTGTGCTCGTCGTTATCTCGATCGGAGACTGGGCCGGTCGTGTTCTTCGAAGGGACACGGTTGCTTCTGTGCGAATCGCAGCACGAAACACACTTGGTTGTCGACGTTGTTG